ACTCTCGTGGTCTAGAAGTTAAGATGTTTGCCTCTCATTCAATAGGTCCAGGGTTCGAAACCCTACAGCGAATGAGAATTTTCTTCTCTAAAACTTTCTTTTTTCACGTTCTTTCCTGCTCTCTAACAATGTTCTGCCGTCTCTTTTTGTTCCATTTTCTGCCGCCACCTACTCCCCCCCCCCACACTTTTGGTGCCTCCTCTCGGCTCTGGACTCTTTCTGCAGCTTTTCTACTGCTACTGCTTGTCTCCATCTTACTGTTGTCTTTCAGCCACATCCCTGATCTTCTGGTAGGTAAGATCTAACACCTAGCCGTCTAGGAAAAGGGTGAAAAATCTCAGAGGTCTCGTGTGCACGTTGTGCAGTTAAAGATCCCTTGGTGGTCCAAAATCGATAGTTGGCCTCGGCGCCATCAGGGCAAAACTCAATATTAATTCCTACCAAACTAAAAATGTTGAATGTGTCCCGCGCGATCATATGGCATCATGCTGTTGCAAGCGCCGTAAAACACTTACCCAACCAACACCTCCCCAAAAGAAAAATTGTTGAATGTGTCCTGCGCTTTTATATGACCTTATGCAGTTGTGAGCGCCTTAAAACACTCACCAAAACAAAACAAGCCAAACCATTTGCATACCGACGTCATTCGCTCTTCTCACTATGCTTTACTTCTGGTGCATTATGCGCAGTGCGCACGCTGATGCGATTGCGTCGCACCGATCCCCACATGCTGTGCTCCCTACCTGTTCCCTTTCCGAAAATCTCTCTCTCTCTCTCTCTCTCTCTCTCTCTCTCTCTCTCTCTCTCTCTCTGAGCTCACCTGTGTTGCCCGAGATTTGTTCGAAGACCGTTACAGGTGCACTTCTGAGACATTCTCCAACACATGAACACGTAGAGTTTGATGGAGAAAAAAAAGTAAATAAATGTACAGACAGAAAGACTCACCTCCGTACATACTGAGTCGAACATGCACAAATAAGAGCACGCACGAGCACGCGAGCGCGCCCACACACGCACATACCTACACACACACGCACACACACATATACACACAAACACATGCGCGCACAAACACACAAACACACACACATTCACATGCGCTCATAGATACACACACACACACACACACACACACACACACACACACACACTTATGCACACACAAACACACACATGCGCACACACACACACGCTCACACACACATTCACATGCGCTCATAGACACACACACACTTATGCGCGCTCACA